GATGGCCCATTTGGCCAATCGGCCCGAGAGTTCGGGCTTGTGCAAAATATTGCGAAGGGGATAGGTGGTTACAACACAAATTGGGTGAAATTGAAAATATGGTTTTAATTTCCTAGAGGCGCTTATTAAAGCAAGCGCTAATTTTTCTAAGTGTGGGTACCGAGTCTCGGCTTCACCTTAGGTCCGACTAACATAATAAACAGGAAATTACGTACTTGTTCTTCTCGAACTAAGACCCCACTTACCGCTATCTCCGAGACCGCTAAGTATAAGTAAAGTTGCTCGTCCGCCTTTGGGGTGTGAAGCAATGGCGGGCTCCACAAGTATCGTTTGAGTTCCTCCAAAGCCAGTTGGCATTCCGGGGTCCATGTGAAATTACTCTTTTTCTTAAGCAGTGAGAAGAACCGGTGGCTCCTATCTGAGGACCTCGAAATAAATTGACCCAGGGCGGCTATGCGTCCTATTAACCTTTGTACAACCTTGACATTGTCAACAAATGTGATGTCTTCGATTGCCTTGATTTTATCGAGGTTTATTTCGATCCCCCGCTTCGACACCATAAAGTCGAGGAACTTGCCCGAGCCGACCCTGAATGCACATTTCTCCGTGTTAAGCTTCATGTTATACTTTCTTAGTATGTCAAAGCTCTCCTACAGATGTTTCAAATGGTCCTATGCTCGCAGGGACTTAACTAGCATATCGTCAATATAAACCTCCATTGATTTACCTATTTTCTCTTCGAACATTCGATTTACTAGGCGTTAATAAGTAGCACCAGCATTTTTTAGTCCAAACGGCATTACATTATAGCAATGGGTGCCGTACTTGGTGATGAACGAAGTCATTTCCTGATCCTCCGGGTTCATCTGTATTTGATTGTACCCGGAGTACGCATCGAAAAAACTAAGGATCTCGTGGCCGGCCGTGGCATCGATCATGCGATCGATATTCCGCAAAGGAAAAGAATCTTCAGGGCATGCCTTGTGAAATCTTTATAGTCTACGCACATTCTAAGTTTGTTTCACTCTTTAGGGACTACAACTACGTTTGCTAACCATTCGCGATATTTTACCTCCCGAATGGATCCTATATTGAGAAGTTTTGTTACCTCGTCCTTAATGAATGCATGTTTTACTCGGACTAAGGTCTTCTCTTTTGTTTCACCGGGCGAAACTTCAGGTCCATGCTCAATAGATACATAGTGATCTCCGATGGGATCCCTGTCACATCTAGGTTAGACCAAGCAAAACAATCCATGTTATTTAAAAGGAATTGAACGAGTCTTTTCCTGAGCTCAGGAGTTAACCCCGTGCCTAGGCATACCTTTCGATTGGGTAGATGGTCGATCAGTATGATTTGTTCTAGCTCTTCGACCGTCGACTTCATTGCATCAGAATCATCGGGAATTATGAAGGTTCGAGGTATCATATAATCATCATTCTCGAAGGTTTCCTACTCCTCCGATTGGGCCGAGGCCGGTGACTGTGGTTGCTATTTGACCTCCTTCGACTCTGATCCCTTTATTGATGACAACGCCGATACTGGTATAACCTCATCAATTGCAAACATTTCTTTGGCGGCGGGTTGTTCACCGTACACCATTTTTATTCCTTCCGATGCTGGGAATATCAAGACTTGATAAAGTGTCGAGGGTATTGCTCTCATATTATGAATCCAAGGTCTTCCGAGCAGCGCGTTGTATCTCATGTCGCCCTCGATCACGTGGAATTTTGTTTCTTGGATGGTCCTGGCCACATTTACTGGCAGAATGATTTCCCCTTTTGGTGGTTTCACTTGCCATGTTGAAGCCGTTATGTACCCAAGCTGTGAGCATGATTTGATCTTGGAGGCCGGGTTGCTCTACGACCCTTGATCGAATAATATTTACCGAGCTACCTGGATCAATCAACACACGTTTAACTTGAATTTTATTCATAAGTATAGATATTACCAGTGCGTCGTTGTGAGGTTGTTCGATCCCTTCTGCGTCCTCGTTATTGAAAGACAAGGTTTCTTCTGGTAAGTAGTCCCGAGTTCGCTTCTCCCTTGTGATTGTCACTTTGGTGCGTTTGAATACCGGTCCTTGAGGGATATCAATTCTACCAACGATCATGCGAATTACGTGCTATGGCTCTTCCTGCTCGTTCTGCCTGTTCGAATCTCTATTTTTGAAGTGGTTCTTGGCCCCATCACTTAATTATTCTCTAAGGTTACCCTCGTTGAATAGACGGGCTACCTCCTCCCTTAACTGTCTGCAGTCTTCGATTCTATGACCATAGGTACCGTGTTATTTACACATTTGATTAGGGTTCCTTTGAGCTGGATCGGTCTGTAAGGTTCTGGGCCACCTAGTATCCTTAATCCGACCAATGGCTGATACAATACCTGACGCATCGATGCTGAAGTTGTATTGTGACAGTCGAGGTGCCTCTTTGGGTCCGACATCCCTATCAAAACAACTTTTACTCCTAATCCCCCGGGAACTCTGTCCTTGATCATTCCTTCTATCATTCTGAATGGGGTTGTGTCCAGGCCCGTTATTTCTCCGATCTCCACTGTATGGCTGGTATCTATCTTTATTCGTTCATGGTTCCCGATCGATGTCCCTTTTAACTCTGTCCACGGACCTATTGGGATAAATTGAACCATTTGGAGTTCCCAATTGATCATCTTCGATTGATACCAATTGTGTACATCGGCCCAAGTGACAGTTGGATATTTGATCAAATTTTGTTTTAACTGTTGTGAAGCTATGGAGATCTGGGTGTTGAGACCTTGTGTAAAAGCTTGAACAACCCAGTCGTCGGTGACTGGAGGCAAATCCATTCGCTCCGTTCGGAACCGAGATACGAATTCCTTAAGCATCTCGTTATCCTTTTGTCTTACTTTGAAGAGGTCCGATTTCGTTGTTGCAACTTTAATGGCTCCGGCGTGGGCTTTCACAAAAGAATCTGCAAGCATAGAAAATGAATCAATAGAGTTGGGTGGTAAGTTATGATACCATATCATGGAACCCTTTGATAAAGTTTCTCCAAATTTCTTCAATAAAACGGATTTAATCTCATCATCTTCTAAGTCATTTCCCTTTATTCCGCACGTGTAAGAAGTGACGTGCTCATTAGGATCGGTGGTCCCATTGTATTTGGGGATGTCTGGCATATAGAATTTCTTAGGAATGGGCTTCGGGGCCGCACTTTAAGGGAAAGGCTTCTGCAAGAACTTCTTCGAATCCAAACCCTTTAGGATCGGGGGTGCCCCCGGTATTTAGTCAACCCGTGAGTTGTATGTTTCTACCTTTTTGTCATTAGCCTCGATTTTATTTTCACTCGATTCGATCCGATTAGCGAGCTCCTCAAGCATCTTTATAATGGCGGTGTCTGTCCCCGATTCATTGACATTCGATTTCTCCGGTACAGGCTCGACTCTATGAACAACCTCTTGTGATGTTTCGAGCTCAATTCTGCTTGGTGCTCGATTCTGATTTTGGAGTTGCGCTATCGCAACTTGTTGAGTCTGCAACATTTTGAATATCACTCGAAGGTTAATTACGCTTTCTTCACCGCTCTGTATGTTCTGATCGGCTACTCGGGCATCTCTACGGACACTATTTCCAGGGTCGATGCCTAGATTTGCATTTAGGGCGACATGCGAACTGACATCGACGGGGTCTGCGATGGGTACTCCCTCGTGGCCAACTTGAGGCACTTCGATCCCTGGGGCGGCAATATTACCGTTTTCTCCATGGAAACCAAGGTCGTTATCGGCGTGAGTAGGTACTGCTTGCGAGTTAGACATGTTGATCCTGAAATCGAAAACATTCACAAGAACAAGTGTAAAATAGTGAGTGTTACAAGAATTAATATCAGACAATCACTATTATCCTTAGCCCCTCGGTGGACGCCAAACTGTTTACCCTTAAAATTGGATAACAATTAAACTTATAATGTGGTTATAAGGATACATGATTTCACCTAAACCAATTGATAAATGCAAAGAGTAATAATAGAAATTAATAATAATATAAATCAAACCAGTGTTTGAACAGAATTCAGCCCTCGAGCTTGAATACCCTCGAACTAGTTTGTGCAAGAACAATTAAAATGTAACAAGTTGATGAACAAGAATCTGAACTATAGAAAAGATGTTATATTACTTTGATATCTCAGAGTGTGAATTAAAGATAGAATATTGTATAGCTTTGATCTGCGCGAATGTAAGGTGTCTATGAAATGATTAGGACCCTCTTTATATAGTATAGGAATCCTATCTATGGTAACGGAAGTAAATCCCATGATTAGCCTAAACAATTGCCTTGATTTGATCCGTTCCGGGATTTCCACCGTGATCTTCGACCGTTCACGGATATCTCGCTTTTTGGTTATTGCGCTTTGCTCGAAGTTTGTCATATTTGGTCTCGATCACTACTGGCCTCGATCTCGGCAGGCACCTAGATTCTCGAATTCGATACCTTGTCTTCGTGCTCTGTTCTAATCCACTACGAGGCTGACCTTCAATGCAATTCCCTGATCTCGATCAAATAGTACAATCAGGTAAGCCCGGTTTTAACTGTATACAACTACATATATTATTTAACGTGCAATGCCCGTATTCACATGTATGGAACTAAAAAATTTGGAGCCTTTATCCATCGTGTAATCCAACCTTTAACACATTGAAAACATAAGTGTAGGATTAAAATATACTATTTAATTTCATTTTTATCCTAATTGTACTTGTGCTTAGTAGGGAGGAATTAGTGAGGAGATTAGCGAAAGATGGGGCCATGTACAGTGCATAAGTAGTGCGTTATTAACACACTATTACATAGTAAGCCGCCCACCGTATCTCAAAATAGTTTCTCAGAGGGAGAGATCGCTTTCGAATGGTTGGGTCGTTTACTTCATGGAAACTTCTTTACCACTTAAACAATAGAGCTTGCGAACAAATAACTATAAATAAGACATGACTACTGCTTAGATATCTCATTCTACAAATTGAAAACTACTAAGGGATTAGAACTCTAGAGAATTCTTAATTAGCTAAGACATACGTACGTAGTTTTCTTGCCATTCTTTTATTCTACTCTCGTTTCAAGAAATTAAGATTAAGAAGATGGGGTTCATTTCAAACATCGAAAATGAGCTGCTTTCTAAGGTAGCAACCAACAATGGGCATGGTGAAAACTCAGCCTACTTTGATGGTTGGAAGGCCTATGAAATTGATCCTTTCCATCTAACACAAAATTTTGATGGGGTTATTCAGATGGGTCTTGCTGAAAATCAGGTAACAAGAAAAAACTATCAACACGCTCGGTTCTATATTATATGTACATGATACTTTTTTCTTTTTAGTCTCTTCTAAAATAAAGAATAATATATATATATATATATATATATATATATATATATATATATATATATATAGAGAGAGAGAGAGAGAGAGAGAGAGAGAGAGAGAGAGAGAGAGAGAGAGAGAGAGAGAGACNTTAATGAGGCAATTACGAGCAATAAATGACATTAAAAGAAACGTTACTCAATCATTCCTATTAAATACAAATTCTCTAACGTATTTGGCATTTAATGCTGAATTTGGACTCTTTTACGCTATCAGATTCATGACTTCAATTCATTCCGATCTTCGAGCTTTAAATGACTCGAACAGGTACGAGTCTCATTTCATTTGAATAATAGCTCGTGTCTTTAAGTATCTTTTCTCCCGCATCTGTTGTTGCTCGTGCCTTCTAACTGATTACCACACTTTGACTATTTGACTGGTCCACGTGTCATGACACGTCATCTTCAATATTTAAATTCAGTTTTTTCCCAATACAATAGCTGCTCTGAAAATAATAATTGAAAAATGTACATTATATATATATATATATATGTATATATAGATATATATATAAAGAGAGAGAGAGAGAGAGAGAGAGAGAGAGAGAGAGAGAGAGAGAGAGACATTTGTACTTTATACTTTTTATTATCCTTGATGAAATGCGCTTTTATAGCTATAAAAATTAAGTTGTACAGTATTTAAAAGCATGAGCTCAAAGCCTCCAACGAAACTTTTGGTATGAGTCAAGTCATTCTTTTTTAAAACGCTATGCTCAGTCAAACATTTCCATTTAAAATCGAAACTGAGGGAGTATATATTGTTTAAACGATGCGTTGCCAGAAACATAGGTTTATGTTTTTGTTGATGTTCTTGCAGCTTTGCTTTGATTTAATACAAGAATGGGTGGTGAACAATCCGAAAGCCTCCATTTGCACAGCTGAAGGGTCTGAAGATTTCAAGGATATTGCAATTTATCAAGACTATCATGGTTTGCCAGAATTCCGAAGTGTATGAACTAAAAACTGAAAAATTATTATATCAACATTTCTTTTTTTTTTTTCCACCAGTTTTGTATATTATGTGCAGGCTGTTGCAAGGTTCATGGAAAAAGTGAGAGGAGACAGAATAACATTTGAGGCAGAGCGCATAGTTATGAGTGGAGGGGCTACTGGAGCTCATGAATTACTGGCCTTCTGCTTGGCTGACCCTGCAGAGGCATTTCTGGTTCCTACACCCTATTATCCTGGGTACGTAAAACACCTACTATTTTTTTTTTTTTTTTTTTGAGTTTCCTATCTAGGGTTCGGTATTCGCATTTGCATCTCAACTAATCTGGATAGGCTCATTAAAAGGGGAAGAGCTCCGATCCCTACTAGGAATTGTTTTCGTTAACAATGCTCGAACATGAGACCTTTGGTTAAGGGTAGAGGAAATCTATCTATCCCACCACAATGCTCGATGGACGGTAGAACACCCTCTCACTACTAGTATAATTTTATGAAAATACGAATATTGGTAGTAAAAGATAGTACCTCCATCCTAATTTCTTCAACACTCTTTTTGTTTATTTTTAGTTTAAATTCAAATAAACTTCAGACCATTCGGTATTTAGAATTTACTGTTTACATTTTCTTTTCCTTCATACCGACACTTATAGGAATTGTCACGATCTGCGTAGTGTCCCTCTTCACAACAAAGACAAATACTCCCTCTGTTCCAATTTATGTGAACCTGTTTGACTGGGCACAAAGTTTAAGAAAAAATAAAGATTTTTGAAATTTATAATCCTAAACAAGTCAAAAAGGGATCCATAGTATTTGTGTGGTTACAAAAGTTTCTCATTAATGGTAGAATTGTAAGTTTAAGCTAAATTGTTTCCAAATTTAGAAAGGAGTCATTCTTTTTTGAACGGATCAAAAAGGAAATAGGTTCACATAAATTGGAATGGACGGAGTACTGTAGTACATGTACAGATTCGTATTAACAATACTTTGATATTTTAATTAGCGTAGTAAATTTTCTTGTAGAACCCTTTAATTTGCATTCTTTTAAAAATTGTGTCCAGTCAACCACCCTCAAACAGATTATTATGGAGTGAGTAAAAACGCATGGTTTTCTATTTTTTGACTTTCAGCACCAGCAAAATAACATCTCCTTAGGTTCTTTTTCTGGGACAAATAGACAATAATATGGAAGTACTAAATTATTTTCAATTTTTTGCAGATTTGATAGAGATTTGAGGTGGCGAACTGGGGTACAACTTTTTCCTGTTGTTTGTGAAAGCTCTAACAATTTCAAGGTCACACGAACAGCCTTAGAAACAGCATACCAGAAAGCTCAAGAATCCAATATTACCGTAAAGGGCTTGCTTTTAAACAATCCATCTAATCCACTGGGAACTATCCTAGACAGGGAAACATTAAAAGACACAGTAAGATTCATTAATGAGAAAAACATCCACCTCGTATGCGACGAAATATACGCTGCCACAATATTTAACAAGCCCGATTTCATCAGCATTTCCGAAGTAATATTGGATGAAGATGTTGAATGCGACCGCGATTTGATACACATTGTTTATAGCCTGTCAAAGGATTTAGGCTTTCCTGGATTCAGAGTCGGGATTATTTACTCATACAACGATGTTGTAACAAACTGTGCACGAAAAATGTCAAGTTTCGGACTAGTTTCAACACAAACGCAATTCTTGATTTCAAACATGCTATCGGACGAAAAATTCGTTACAAAATTCATTGGTGAGAGTAGTGAAAGGTTAGCGAAAAGGCACGACATGTTCACTAAAGGACTTGCACAAGTGGGAATTAACACATTGAAGAGTAACGCTGGCTTGTTTATATGGATGGATTTGAGAAGGCTTCTTAAGGAACTAACATTTGAATCTGAACTCGAACTTTGGCGAATAATTATTAATGAAGTTAAACTTAATGTTTCGCCGGGTTGTTCTTTTCATTGTTCAGAGCCTGGTTGGTTTAGAGTATGTTTTGCTAATATGGATGATGAAACTATGAGGGTTGCCTTAAGAAGGATTAACAACTTTGTGATTCAACGTAAAGGGATTGAAGGAGGAGTCAAGAAATTACAATGTAGGAGGAGTAAATTGGAGATTAGTTTATCATTTAGAAAATTGGATGATTTTATCAACTCTCCTCACTCTCCAATGTCTTCGCCTTTGGTCCAGGCTAGGACTTAAAAGGAAAAACAAGGATTTATTAGCACTTGTAATGTTTCTTTTTCTTTATGATAATTCTTCGAAATTGAATGAAGAGTCAAAGTCTTAACCACTGCTTTTACTGCAGTACTTAGTAATATTTGTGTTGTCCATTCTTTGGCCTTGAACATTTTTTTACCTTGGCTTTTAATTTTACTGAAGAAACGGGTTGTTGGGGTTTACCTTATTTTTGAAATTTCAAACTGAAAGGACGTAATAAAAGTGTTTCCAAAATTGTACAGTTATACAATAATACAGAGTTGACTCTCTTTTGGAAGGATTTGACTTATTACTTTATTTAGGAATGACATAAAATTCATAAAGATTGCTACGCGGTAGCCATTTTAATTTGGATGGTAAGACTTATCCGTACGCACTTAAAAAATAGGGTAGAACTTATCATTAGGCTGCTAAATTCTTTCTCTAATATCCATTAAGTTCAGAGTATCTGGTCTGGACTAAAACACTCTTCGACACAAATTGTTAGGACCGTCCAAACTCCAACTCATTAGTATTCTGACTATCATCAACAAGTCAACTAAATCTCTTAAAATCCCTCCATTATCTAGCTTTTGATATTCCTCCGTTAACTACTAGAAAACTGATATATTTCGTCCAAAGCATACCAATCGAAGTCGGTCGGAAAAAAAACCGACAGAAAACATCGGAAATTAAGTAAATTGGTCGCAAAAATTAAAAAAAATATTTCTGACAACGGAAATAGTGGTCCCACAGCAAGAAAATAAAAATTTAGACCGATTTCGGTCAAAAATTGGTCAATATTTGACCAAGACCTGGTCATACTTGTATATAATCTACAAAAATAATTTTTTATTAAAATTTTTCAAAATTTCCGACCGATGTCGGTTGGAATATTTGAAATTATGATTTGCCGCCCAAGGCAATTGGTTTTTAATATAACAAAAATTATATATATTTAATTTACCAACCGGAATGTAACGACCCGACTGGTTGTTTTGCTTTCTAGAACCCCGATCCCCTAAATAAGACTTCCCGTACTTGCTGTTATTGATTTATGACTTCCCGGGATGATAGGTTCTGGATTTGGAAGAGTTTGGGTTGAAATCGGAACACTTGGTTCCGTAAGGTTAGCTTAAAAGGCCAAGTTTGACTTCGGTCTACATTTTGAGTAAACGACCTCAGAATCAGGATTTGACGGTTCCATAGGTTCGTACGATGATTTCGGACTTGGGCATATGCCCGGATTGGGTTTTGGATGACCCGGGAGCATTTTGGTGCCTAATAGTGAAAGTTGTTCTTGAAGGTTTTTAGAAGTTCTTTAAATTTGGTTTAGAGCGGGTTTTTGTGATATCGAGGTCCAAACGGAATTTTGAGACCGAAAATAGATCCGTAATATCATTTAAGACTAGCACACAAAATTTGGTATCATTCTGAGTAACATAAGTACGTTTCGGCACATTTAGAAGTAGATTGAAGAACTTGAAGTTCATAAGTTTGATTCAATTGGTTTTAGGGTGTGATACATAGTTTTACTGTTTTTTTAGGCGTTCCGAGGGTTAGAGCGAGTCTGTTTTATAATTCCAAACTTGTCGGTAGGTTCGGGCGCAGCCCCGGGGGCCCTGAGTGTCTTTCGGACGAGGCTCGGCCTAAGTGAAATTTTTTAGCAAGAGCTGAAACTCCAACTGCTGTCATAATCACACCTGCGGTTGGTCAGGTGCGGTTGAAGCATCGCAGATGCAGCCCAAGGAGAGGAGCCCAGGCTCCACAAATGCAGCTCCTTTTCTGCAGAAGCGGTCATCCGTCCGCAGGTGTGGCCCCAGCCGGCCCGGCCCAACTCCGCAGAAGCGAGACCATAATTGCGGTCCACGCACCGCAGGTGCGAAAATTGCTGGGGCAGTGAGTTTAGTTAATACGGGAATCAAGCCAATTTTCTCTCATTGTTTGGACGATTATTGGAGCATTTTGAGAGGGATACCACCTAGCTTTTGGAGGTAAGTAATTTCTACCTATTGTGAGTTCAATAGATAAATTTGGGGTAGATTCTAACATGAAAATTGGTAGAAATCATGGGTTAGATGAAAAACCTAGGGTTTGACAAGAATGGAATTTTTACCACGAAATTTACCATGAAACTTAGTGATAATCAAATATTTATGTTCTTTAGGTTATGGGTAACAACTTCCTTCGAAAATATCTGGAATCCGGTCATGTGGGTGCCGAAGGTGAATATTAGGAATCTTTCCTTTGGGTTGGGTAATCACTTTAATAGTTAGAATATAAACTTTTGAACCTATAATGCTTGGTTTTTACGCTATTCGAATAGTTTTGGATTGTTCGGCTCCGATTTGAGGGTTTGAGCGCATTCTTGAGTTTGGAAATAGGCTTTGAAGCAAGGTAAGTCTCTTTTCTAACCTTGTAAGAGGAAAATTTCCCCATAGGTGAACTTAATTAATATGTGGTTATTTGTGGGGGCTACGCACGCACGAAGTGACGAGAGTCAATATGTAGCTACTATTCCTGTTATATCCGGGTAGCTTTAGGTTTACGCCATGCTTTGTGGACACCATTATTTGATTATATGTGCTAATTGTAACGAAAGGAATTAAGTTGAGGAATTCTAAGAATTTAAAGGCTTCAAGTTGGATTGTGTTTATTTTAAAAAGAATCAAGAAAGGGTTATGATTTAAATGATAAAATTATGTTTTGATCACGTCGCATGTATGATTCGCGAGCGGGGTTATGTTTTGACCGCGTCGCATGTATGATTCGCGAGCGGGGAGAATAGATACATATATGGTTCGCACCGTTTGACCCTCGGCAGTGCATAATTTACTTTTATGTTGGATCAGGCCGAACGTCCTCGGTGGTATCTGTGTATGATAATACAATTGGAACTCTTTATAGTTTGTATGATTGGTTGCTTGAAAAATCACTTGTTTTAAATAAAGAAAGTGCCTTGACTTCTTAAATATGATGGAAGGGTTTTTCCAGTTATTATTCTTGTTTGAGCTTGTTGTTATCTACATACATTGATTTAAGAATTGGAACTTCATATTATTATACTATTGGCCCTAGTAAGTGTCGGAGTCAACTCCACGTCACTACTTCTTCGAGGTTAGACGAGATACTTACTGGGTACATATTTTTATGTACGCATGCTACACTTCTATACTTGATTGTAGATGTTTTGAGGCTGGTGCATCTGGCCATCAGCCCGACGCGTAGACTCGACTCCTCAGCTTGAGACTTCCCGGTGAGCTACCCTCTTGAGCCGTTCTACAGCAGCTGGAGTCTCTTTTATGTCTTTATTTTCATGTCTATTCCTTTCCAGACAGTAGGATAGTATGATTTTGTATATTTTACTAGATTGCCCACATACTTATGACACCAAGTCTTGGCACACACACTAGTAGACTTATGATTTTGGTTTACTTACATGATTATGATTAATATTTAATGCTTCCACTTATTTATGCTTAAATTTTAAACTCCTAAATTTTTATCAAATAAGGAGAAGTCATTACTTGCTAATTATTTAAACGGGAATTCACTATTTGATTAGTGTTGGCTTGTCTAACAACGGTGTTGGGTGCCATCATAGCCTAATATCGAATTTGGGTCGTGACAGCATGGTATCAGAGTACTAGGTTCACGTAGGTCTCACAAGTTATGGGCAAACCTGGTAGAGTCTTGCGGATCGGTACGGAGATGTCTGTACTTATCTTCGAGAGGCTATAGGGCGTTAGGAAACTACTCTCTACTCATCTCCTACCGTGCTGTTGATGGTTTACTACATTTCCTTCTTCTATTCTCGCACAGATGGTGAGGACGCGTATGAAGAACGTTCCAGACCCAGGAGGAGCTGCTCCTCCCGTTGCTAGAGGCCAAGGCAAAGGCCGGGGGAGGGCACCAGCCCGAGGTAGGGGACGAGGGCATCCCAGAGCTGTCCCAGTAGCACCACCAGCGGATCCAATGGAGGATCCCGTCATCGAGGAGCATGGCGAGGTGCCTGTTCGCCAGCCCCGGTAGATTTCATGACGGGACCGAGCTTTCAGGAGGTCATGGGTCGTATGCTGTGTTTCATGGACACTATGACTCAAGCTGGTTTATTTTTAGCAGACCCAGCCACATTTTAGACAGGAGGGGGAGCACAGACCCCTACTGTTCAGGCTCCTAGGCACGCAACTGCCGTATATCAGACTCCGCGTACACTATCCATGGGCGGGGCCCAGCCAATTGCAGTAGTACCTGAGCCTAGACCAGCTGCGGACAGTGATCCGCAGAAACTACTTGACAAATGTACTAGGCTACACCTTCCTCTTCGGTGGTGAGCGGCTTGAGGACCCCCAGGACTTTATTGACGGCGTAGGGACAGGCTGCACAACATGAGGATATTGGAGTCCCATGGAGTAGATTTTACCACTTTCCAGTTGGAGGGCATGGCCCGTAGATGGTGGCAGTCTTACCTTCTTGGCAGACCAGCGGGTTCTCCTCCCATGACTTGAGATCAGTTTACACGGCTTCTATTGGGAAGGTATATTCCACCCTCCCAGAGGGATGAGTTGCGGTGTCAGTTTGAGTAGCTCGAGCATGATCAATTGTTTGTGACCGATTATAAGGCAAGATTTTCTGTGTTGTCTCGCCATGTACTTATGATACTTCCTACGGACGCAGAGAGAGTGCAGAGATTTGTTACAGGGTTGCACCCTAGTATTCACGCTAGCATGGCTGAAGGTTGAAATGAGTACTTATTATCAGCTAGTGGTGGAGATTGCTCGGAGGATTCAGGGCTATCGCTAGAGGGGTAGAGAGCAGATGCAGCAAGACAAGAGGACGTGATTCTATGGAGAGTTCAGAGGTGCCCCAGCTAGGGGCAGAGGTCAGTTTGGGAGAGGTCAGCCTAGCAGGCCTACATATCCAGCACCACCACCACCTCATCGGGGTGCTCCAACGCGACCCTATTTCAGCGATATGCCAGAGAGCTCTTACCGCCCACCAGTTCATCATTCTTCCAGTGCTTATTTCAGTGCCATGCTTGAGAGTTATACCGCCCACTAGCCATTTAGGGTTCTTCTAGTGGGTATTCAGGCCA